GTAAATGGCCACGAAGAACCGATAGGGTATTAGTTACTAGAGGTCTTGTTCCATCTGTTCACCCACTACATCGGCAACTGATAATACGTCGCGTTTTCATCCGCTTGATTCGCAGCTCTCGAGACTGCAAGATACGTTGCACCATTTAGCGTTTAGTTAATGAATTGAGCAGCCGCAGCAAGGCTTAGTTAAAACTAGCTTTCGGCGGTTGTTAGCTCAGCAAAGTCTATAAGGGGTGTACTAAGTAACTAACGGCAGTCGGCGATGAACCACCAATATAAAATTTTGGGCTGAGTTTGTGTTGATGGGAGACAAAATAGGTATTAAGAGTGTGTGATGGAATGCGGGTGCATAAAACTGTGTTTAATTAAGAAAATGAAAATAGTCTCAATACAACACGCTTAAACAATGACCAAATAACTACATAGGCGGTCTGTATTACTCTTATCAACGAAATTAATCGGGGAATTGCTTCTAGCCGCAGCATTTTATATCCCAGATACCTAAGCACCCGAAGTAACGAGGGTAAATGGAAAAAAAATCAAATCACAGATTGTTGAGATTGAAGCGTGATTGACAAAAGCCACACAAAGCATAGTCTCGTAAAACGTCTCCGCGCACTGAATTAGTTAATCTTAGGGAGAAAAACAATTCTAAACTAGACCGGAAGTATTGCATAAAAGTTTATTGACGGATTACTGTAAGAAACCTTGTAAGCGTGTGATAAAAATTAGCCGAAGTATTTAAGCTCTAAAGTTTAGGAAAAACTTTAAATAACAGCGGAGCATTACCTCAGTCTCGATAAGTTCGTCAAGTGTAATAGTTTCCTTCTGCTCATCCATTTTTTTCTTGTCCTTTCTCAGAACGAAATTGGGAGGAAGCGCGTGTCGATAGTGACATGCAGCACCGTTCGGGCACTCCCAAAACCAACCGTACTTGTTTCCCTCGACGGCATCTAGGAAGTACTTGCAAATCTTTAACGATATTGTCAATATAATGTGCTTTGGTTACGATCGTTGTCGCTGGAAGACCCTTATTTTGAGCGCCATGTTTTTTAGTAATAACATCTTCCAGTTCGGCTTGGTCCCACTGCTCCATATCGCCCCGTTCATCTTCGTAAAGATTTTTCTTTTCAGTTTTTCTCTCAATATTAAGATCGTGGGAAAATTTGCACTTTTCGCCCTTGGTGCAAGTCCCCTGTTTGAAAAAAACGCATAGGACGGATTTTGGATCAACACCTAAAGCACATAAATGAAGCGAAACGAAACTTGCCTTTCGATATTTTTTGAAGTTCTGCGACTGGTTTAAATAGCGTTGCAAGTTCTTCTGCTTCTTTTTTCTTCTCTAGCTTCTTTAGCTCTTTTTCTTGTTGAGCTCTTTCGATCTTTAACGAATATCGTTAACTGAAGAATACTTACATCTTTAGCGGACTTGTTTCCGTATATAACCTGCTTTTGTACCTGTTGAACGAACTTTTGTTGCTTTGCACCCTTTTTATTTTTCAGACCGAACGTTTTATCCTTAACAAAGCCTTTAGCCCTGAAAATAGCGAACCTCGATTATCTTTTTCTTTTCTTTGTCGACTGCTTTTTTAGATGGCTCATTCTTCTTCGGAGGCATGAGGAGGCCGCAGCAAATCCTTCAAAAGAACCGCGCTATAAAGTGCAACGATTAAAGAGAATAAAGTCTGTTTCTAGTTGATCGCTCGTGGATGTAGACACA